CTTAGCTTGGCTTGTTGCTAGCCAGCTTTTCTTAAATTATCCCATCTACTTTTTCCCACTGGGCTTTTATCTTTCTTATTTCTGTATATTGTACTTTACTTTTTACTGGGTGGCTGGCCCCTGACATCCTCCTCTCCTTGCTCTCTCTTGCTCCTTCTTCCTGTCACCAAGATTTCTCCTTCCATTTATATCTGCCTGCTAGCCCTGCTTATCCTTTCTCCTGCCTGGATATTGGCCATTCAGCTCCTTATTAAACCATCAAGGTGTTTTAGACAGATTAAAATCACAGTGTTAAACCAATGCAGCACAAACAAAAGTCACATGCCTTAAAGTTATATTCTACAACACTGACAGATTGACATAACTTTTTCTACAATGCATGTCTTTCTCAAAGTGCACCTAATTTAAATCATGAGTACCCAATTATGCAAAGGCATAAAGTGGTAGATTGGGTTCTCCCTAAAAATTTACTCAGCTTGCCTTATTGTGCTTAAACCCCAAACCAGCTCAGGCCAAATTGGCCCTCCTACCCTCATACCCAGATGTAATGAGCATATTTAGATAGAATATGTCTAAGCTAATGACAGTGGATGTCATCGTCTGCTGCCAAAATGCAGCAAGCACATTTCCACTGTCCCACAAGTTGCATATCCTCCCTATGCACGTGTACTATACCCCCTTATAAACAGCCCATACCTTCTCTTCCTGCCCTCTTCCTCCTTCCACTCTTGCTCAGAGGTGGCCTCTGCATACTCCCATCCCCCAGTAACCTCTCAAGTGAGATCTGTTGCAAGGTGTGATTTTTGTGGCATTCCTTGGCTCCAATATGCCAAGGTAATGTCCACCGCTTAAATCATAACATTGGTGATGATACTCAAGATAGGATATGCTGGTGCCTGTGCACTATCCTCGTGGGTCTAAGCCACACTGGACCCTATCCTTTGTCCCCAGTCCACCTGCAGCAGACTCGCTTTTCAGCTCACCAATGGTGGGGAGCCCCATCCAACATCAGCAATTGGTAAGTTTTCCCTCTCAGTTGGAGTAAATGTTTCCCTGGACCCAAGGGAGTGGCCACTGAGTGTCTGGACCCCTCTGGAATTCTTGGAGGC